TTAATTAGAAATCAAAGGGATGAATCACAAAGCATCGCATTGAAAACCTCCAGTGGTGTGCATGTTTATTCACAAATGTACACAAAAAGATACAAAGATAAGTCTAGCTTCAGTAAGCATATGAGAAATCTGTCACTTTCCCATGTACATACAAAGACAACATTTTATGTTTGTTTTTCTAATCTACTGCCAACTCAACAAAACCATTTTAGGTACAACAATCAGAATATCCTGTTCATTTATTACGCTGCTTTTAGACATGCACTAAACTCCGGAGATCCTCCACACTTTCTCCAGAGTAGGTGGATGTGTGAACGCAAATGTCCAAGTGACAGTCTCTAGGTTATCTGCAGACTTTTTCCACCTGGCCCCCTAGTTTAAAGTCTGCAGAGAGTCAGGAGAATTCCATGTGAGAAAACAGCGGGGGTACCCTGCTGAATTCATTGTGAGTGAATGGGGGTTAATTGATGCTTCTTACACGCAACACAAAAATCCCTGGCAAAAGTGGAAAAAAAGATCTGGGCTCCGTCCAAGATTTGCAGCTTTTTTCTTGGCCCAAGTTCCATCCTTCCACCTGGTTTTGTTGAAATAAGTAGTTTTTCGAGAATCCTGCTGAAAGACATACAATCCAACAAACAGTAGTGAAAACACAACCTTCTTTGGCAGATGGAATGGATTGGTCAGTTTGCTGACATATTTCATGTGTACTAAAAATGAGGTGAACATAAAATGGATGGAAACATTACCTGTAACATCAAACATAGTTTCTTAGGATGTACTGAAATTTCAAGACACAATATTGTATGGTAACATTTGCTCAAAGCACGTTTTACTGTTTATGGACATGTGGAACATATGGAATGTTGTACCCTATCTAACTGGCGTATAGATTTTGGGCAGGGGAAGTCTTTAACTTGAATTATACTTCTGATTGTGCTCCCTGGAGTTGAAAATCACTTGTCTAGAAGCTGGTTTGCACAGCATTGTTTCAGTGTAGGGTGTTGCATCAGTGTTATTTTTGTTCTTAAAGACAATGGTAGCTCTGTCATGTTTTGTATGGACACATGAAAAATAACATTACACACACGATTACAAGTTAAATTGTTTTTACAGTAACAATAACCACTATGAACCAGCAAAACTGTGGAAGGTAGTTTGTGTCACAAATCATAAAATTAGATTTAACTGACTAAAAACTCTTACTGCAGAATTTCTTAATTCTCACCATTAGCAATGTGTCTTACAGTGACAGCTTTTGCCAACGTTGATAAGCTTTGGGTCAATTGCTAAAAGATTGTCTTTTATGCTAATGGATAGCTGATGTAGCACAACATGAAGGTAGAGCCCTCAGCTTGTCATTTTATGTTGAATTGATCTGAACCGATACACTTGGTTTTGGTCTCAGAATCCATAATGTTTTTCCTTTTTAACCATAAAACTGCACGAGGGGATTGAAACTGGACAGCCTGGTGTGGAGTGTGAAACTGAGACAACTCAGTAAGTTATGTAATGGATTGACATAGTGCTAACTGTATTATACTGCAGAATCTGCAGACATGCAGAAACACTGTATTAATAACCATATTTTTAATCTCTGTATTAGGGCTGCACAATGAACGGAT